TTTTTTTTTCAGTAAAAGAGCTAATGCTCTAGATTCCCCTTGCACTACAAAGCCATGATATATAATTCAATACAGTACAATTTCAGTAGGACTTTCGTCTTTGAAAAGACCTAAGATTAAGTACCCTTTCCAGCTCCAGACATATGACACACATCCCTGAAAGGCCTTGAAATAATAATAGTAATAATTTAATCATAAAAGCCTCTTTGAGATATCCTTTCTCCAGTTTATTACATCTGTATCTCTATAAGAGAGAACTAGATACGGTCAGATTAGTGTTTTTCAGAAATTCCAAAATAGCATTTGAATCTCTTGACTGAACCAGAACAGGTGAGGGTGATGCCAACTTACAAATTATTCATGTATTTTATTGCACATTATGTATGCACTAATACTTCCAAAGGAATTTGTGAGAGCTTACATAGTCAATAAAGTTTTTAACACAGTAATAATAAGAAAAAAGAGAGATCCCACTATGAAGGGAATCAAGTAGCCTAGCCTAGTGTACAACCTATTACTTGAACAGAAAATTTAGCTATAATTTTCCTAGCTGCCAATGTGTGTGTGGGGGGGAGGGGGAGGAAGGAAAGACAATCAATCATATAGCTCATATCTAATAAAAGTAATAATTTTAATAAAATTATTTGTTTCCCAGTTGAACACTAAAAGGAATTTTGACTTTACAGAAATATCACTGGGAAACAAATAATTTAAAATAAAATTGTAACGGAATATCAGGTGCATCTTCATATACAAATTATTATATTATTTCTCATGTCAAATTACAGCCTGAAGAATCCATTCTATCTACGCAAAAAGCTTACTGTTCCTATGACAAAATATATGTCCTTTAGACGTGCTAGAGGAACAACGCACTCCCTAATGCGGTCACCCTATGGCTCCTTCTTTAGGAATGCGCCTACGGCATAACTAGTAAGGTATAATTCTAATTGCGATCTACATTATAAACTCACTGTTTTTAAACTGTCCCCTAAAGATCTTTGAAAATAATGAGATTCAAATAATTTTCAGTCCACATGTTTAATTGGCATAAATAGGCCACACCGTGTTTGAAAACTACACAAATTGAAAGGAGTAACCACTAGTGAATTCAGTTTTGTTTTGTTTTTTCCTCAGAAGGATCAATGTTTGAAAAAAAAAAAAAAGAGAGAGAGAGAGACAAAAAGCTTTGGCTAATTTGAATTACTTTGCTACAGATATTAAGAATGAAACAAAAGTGCTTTATGGGTTGATAATGAATAGGAAGAAAGGAAATGAGCACTTAAATCTGCAGGATACTTCAGGGAAGCCTTTGAATTCGCAAATACCCTCACCCCCAATTTCTGCCATCTTTTTTTTTTTTTNAAAAAAAAAAAAAAAAAAAAAGAAAGTTAAATGTCCTAGTGGGCTCTCAAAATGTTTATGTAGCTTCTTTTTTGATTTCATATTTCACAGGAAGCATCTACTCCCTTGTGAAATATAATTTTAAGCACATATATTCATTCTGATTCATGCAAACATGCACATGCATGCATATACACTTTTACGTAATTATACATACATAAATATACACATATCTCATGTATATGTATATATTTGAGCTACAGCTTTTATTCCCAAAGTAGAAAAAGGAGAATTTTATAAGGAAACAGAAAAATAAAAAGAATATATGCAAAATAAAGGCATAAACTCACCCCTACTTCTAAGTTCTATTATTACTAAAGTATTTTTTGATACTACAGGTACATGGGAACTCCATCAATATTTTTGACTAAGAGCTTGATCCAGAGTCCCCATTTCCACCACTATTCCAAGTCTACTCAAAGGTTCTGGAAAAGACTTTATGTAGCTAATCAAGGATTCACTGCCTGGTAAATGCAATCCTAATCAGAATCTCAGCAGGAATATTTCCATTTTATGTCCTGTAGTCTGAAAGTGATCTGAATGAAAGATGTCTAGATGAATGATTGAGACATCCTTGCTAAAGACAATTCGATGAACAAAACTATTAACTGAGTTCATTTTATCATTTGTATGCCAAACAAAGTGGCATTTTAAACCTCAAAATGGTAAAGAATAAAATGGAGACTGGATAATTTAGAATTGGTTTAGCCTCAGTGCAGTAATAACGCAAACATGAGTAAACAGCATCATCCACATCTCCCATTAACAATTTAAAAAAATATACTCAAATACTCTCAAATCATTTGGTATATATCTGCACCAACTATAATCTCACAGACAGCTGAAGAATACTAAAGCTATCTACACTTATTCACCTAGACATGTCACTTACTCCAGACTAGCTCGTGTTTTAATATCATCACTTTGAGTAATTTTGATTAGGTTCTGAAATAGAAACAATAATAGATTCAGACAGTGTCTGCATCTTCTGAAAGCTTTCTCTTAAATGTAAAGAATGATCAAGGAATAGATTGCATGCTTTAACAATTCCATTTTGTTTTATGACACATAAAGAAGCAGAGTTTTCAGTAACTACTTACTTCTTTTACCATCTAGGTAGTCCTGCAGAACGTGGTTTGGGATGCAACTCATGTAACAGTTGAAAACTATCAAATCGATTCAGACTCCCATCTTAAAAATCAAGAGAAACAAAAAATAATTCTGGCCTAGTCCTTAGAAACTTCAAGTTAAATAACTGCAAGCTGATAGGCTTTAGAAAAATATAAAATGAACAAAGTTAGATTTATTATGAGTTGATTTAATAAGAAACAACATAGATATGTTTGCAAGACATGTCCATGGTAATGGAATTCAGAAAAAAAAATGAGCGGGTTATTGGGTACCTTTGTATAAAACACAATGTATTGGGTTGTCGGAAAAGTCATGACATTTTTTCTGTTTTTCGTTGCAAAAATGCATCATGACTTTTTCAACAATCCAATAATTTAAACAGAAATTTATAGCAGCTCTTTCATTGCTAAAGATGTAAGCATTAACAAATATACTACTTTAATATTATTCTCTGAAAAGTTGATTGGTAAATTGACTGACTCTTTACTGGATTCATATATATTTCCCACTAGAATATTATTCTATTGGGTTGTCAAAAAAGTCATGACATTTTATCTATGTTTTTCAAAGGTCATTTACTTATACAAAGAACAAAGATCAATCAATGATATATTCCCCATTTTGTTCAATAACCTTTTGTCATCTTTCAGTGAGCTTCATAATTCCTCGTTCATAAAAGGACCTGTCTTTATTTGCGAAAAACTGAACAAGGTGCTGATTTACAGCTTCATCTGAATTCAACGTTATACCACGCAAGGAGTTTTGAAGGGAGCAAAACAAGTGGAAATCTGATGGTGCAAGGTCAGGCGAGTATGGTGTGTGTGGCAACACATCCCATCCAAGCTCCAATAAATATTTTTTATTAAATTATTTTTATTATGAAATACACATTTTTTAGAATTAGTTTCAGCTGTACAACACAGTGCAATAGTTATACTTTTTACCCCTCG